TCAACCATGGAAACCCTTGGGCAATTCACACATTCTCAGTCTCAGAAGATGGCAGTGGCATACACCCCCCCCAAAAGAAACATGCCAAGAAGACACCATGACAGGGTCGCCATAAGTTGGAAATGGCTTGAAGGCACACAACAGCAAAACAACAATAAATAAATAAATTATTAATGAGTGTTTTGTTTTTTTTCTAGCTTTCATGTCTTTCACCTCTCACAAATTTAATGAATATGTGATTAATCAACTGCTCTTGCTTAATAAAAGCAGGAAGGCTGTTATTTACAGCTCTTCCTTTTCCTCCCTTGAGTTGCCAGCTTACTAGGCAAAGTAGTCTAGGCTGCTCTTTCACCTTCAACTGCTTGATCTATAGCTATTAGCAGTTCTAATACCATACCAAAGAGTTAGTTTTGGCAAGAAATTTCTGCCACTCCAAAAAAAACTCCTAAAATAAATTTGTTGGGTTTTTATTTTGTTTTTTGTTTTACAGATTAAATTGTTGTTAAAGTCAGAGGTGCAGAGCTTGATAAAACAAATATTTGACAGCCCTTTCTCTCTACCCTTTCTCCCAAGATAGTTTCTGTCTTATTTTATAAATGTTCCTCCCAAGTAAGACTGACATTTCAGCAGCAGAGTATATGGTGTCCCAATATCAATATGAATTTTGATTTTAATTTATCATGTATTGAAAATGGCTTGACCTCTCTCTATTGACCTCTCATCTTCCTTCAAATCTCACCACTTTTGTCATTTAACTTGCAAGCTTATTTGGTGTAGAAATTTGTTTTGGCCATATTATTTACTAATCTGTTAAACAATATAATAACAATGTTCCAACTAATATATATCATCACTGTCAGTAGTATATTAGACATAGCATAGAACCCAGACTGCCTTGGCTTCCATTTTGACTTCCATTAGGAAATTTAACAGACTTTTTCTCATTCCCTTGACCTAAATGATCCACCACAAATATGTGTTGTTCTCAAAAACAGGTCCATATTGCGTTGCTCTTGAATTCTTCACTGGGTAACAATCTGCACAACCCATTCCATCAACATCAGTTTATATGAGTACATTAAGTTAATAAAACTCTTATGTTTGCAACATAAATTATTATCATAATGGCCTTCAGGGAAATGTACACAGAATGCAAATACATTATTCCCCAGAAAACTTGATACTGACCTTTTAGGGATCATTTGACTCTACCATTCAGAACAAAAGAGCAAAAGGCTTTTCTCCCTCCCTGTTTCCACAGCAGTTACTGTGGTGAAGAGAAGGCTTATTAAAACCATTAATAAAAGTCATTATGGGTCATGGTAGATTTGGGTGTCTCTTTAAAAAAAAAGCTGAAAACCTAGACTCATTACTTGTAGAAGAGGTGCTTCAATGCATTGGGGGATGAAAGAGGAAACTGAAGGGAATATAATGTATTTATCCAAGCATCCTCCCCCCCATTACATAGATTTTTACAGATAATGGTGAAAATGCATGCTGAAGGACCATTATCTTACCTTTTGTATTGATGTAAATCAGGGTAAAACTTACCATACAAGTTAGTGTGCAGCAAAGTGAGTCAATCAACTTTAAGTGGAAGTACCATTGGCAGGGGGGAAGTGGTGGAAGAAATTATGTGTCTGAAGTCCCCAATTTCTTTGGCCCAAGAACTACAGCAACAAATTTTACAACCTCCCAATACAGTTGCCTTGTCTGGGGAACACAAAGATGTCAGCTGTGACTAGAGAGCTCACTGGTTGCATGCATACTTTGTATGTAGTAGGTTCACACACTGGCATTTCCAATTTTGAATATTTAAAGGAGATGGAGGGGAAAGTTGGATAGCAGGGGCCAGGAAGAGTAGACAGCAATGAAATAGATGGTCAGATATTCTGATACAAGGCAGATTGCTCTGTTCCTCTAAAATCAACTTCATGTTTGTCAAAGGGGAAGAAGTTGAAATCACCTGAATCCATCTAGATGTGGACACTACTGTCAAAGGTCCATTGTCTTGTGATTATCTTGAGGTTTCATGAAAAATCCCTAGTTTTTCATTTGCTGAGGCCATTGCCATGTACCAGGATGGAAACATCTACATTAAGTGAATAGTGGGGTTTTCTGAACCTACTGGAATTCCAGAATATTGAGAGTTAGAAGTTGCATAAACATTGTGGTTACAGTTAGGATTAGCAGTGGAGTTTAAAGTACATTTCTTCAACTTTCAGAATGCACTGAGAATACCATTGCCTGCCTCCCTGCCCCCTGAAGCCAACCTGCTAACCACCATAGTATGACTCTTCTGCTACTTGGCAGGGACCCGTTTCCTTCAGAGTGAAGTTGGCATGGACAAAAAAGCGATGACAAAAAGCAATAGATTTTCTAGGTTACTCTTTTGTCCAAATTATTTGTGGCTTGCTTTCATCCTCATTCCCACCTCCTACTTTTCTATATTTTCTACTATATTAACTGTTCTGTAAAGCATCAGGTGCATTAATAATACAGACAAGAGGCATGCATGAAGGGATAATAAAAAATTATTTCCTGGTATCATTTTGTGACCTGTTGTGTAGTAAAGTGCTACCTTTAATCTGCAGTGTTAAACAAACCCTTGACAATAGGAACTTGGACTGACAGTACTGCACAATCATATTTAATCACTTAAGCTGTGTATGCTTTTCCAGTGAATCAGAGTGCATAAAATACTATATTGTTTTTATACGAAGTATTTATATTTAAGCCCCCTTAGGAGAGTCATCTGTTTGGTATGTTGCTTAATCTGGACAAGGTTTAGGAAGTACACTATTGAGATGAACTCTTTCTTTTGACCTAAGGTTTATAGCATTCAAGAAGTGACCTTTTAAATCTTGCCTATTATAAAAATCATAGACTGCAACATAGACTCCATCCATACATGGAGAGATAAATCCCAGAGGTCCAAGTGGGATTCAGGAAAGGAAGAGGCATGAGGGACCACGTTGCAAACATATGATGCCTAATGGAGATCACCAGGAAATTCCAAAAGAAAATCAGCATTAGCTTTATAGACTATAGCAAAGCCTTTGACTGCATAAATCATGAAAGGCTATGGAATGCCCTTGAAGACATGGGAGTGCCAACACATCTGATAGTCCTGATGAGGAATTTGTACTCAGGACAAGAGGCTACTGTTGGAATAAAACAAGGAGAAACAGAATGGTTCCCAATTGGCAAAGGAGTCAGACAAGGCTGCATCCTTTCACCCTATCTGTTCAACTTGTATGTAGAACATATTATAAGAAAAGCACACTTGGACACAGAATGAGGAAGAGGAAAAATAGAAGGAAGGAATATCAACAATCTAAGATATGTAGATGACACCATAGTACTAGCAGAAAACCTCACAAATCTGGAACACCTACTAAGGAAGATCAAAGAAGAAAGTGCAAATGCAGGCTTAATGTTGAACATAAAGAAAACAAAAATAATGATCACTGAGGACCTTCACAAGTTCAACCTAGACAATGAAGAAATAGAAATAGTTAAAATACCTGGGATCAAACATTGATAGAAATGGGGAATACAGACAGGAAATCAGAAGACTAACGGCCTGAACAGACTGCCAGAAATAATCCAGCTTGAGGCCACTTTAACTGTCCTGGCTCTGTGCTAGGTAATCATGGGAATTGTAGTTTTTTCTGAGACATTGAGCCTTCCCTGTCAGAGAGCTCTGGTGCCACAATAAACTACAGTTCCCCTGATTCCTTAGCACTGAGCCAGGACAGTTAAAATGGTCTCAAGATGGATTATTTCTGGCAGTCTGTATAGGCCCAAAAAATGAGGAGGATGGCTATGAAAGAACTAGAAAAGATTCTAAAATTCAAAGATATACAACTCAGCACAAAAGTTAGAATCATACAAGCCATTGTATTCCCTATTACCATGTATAGATGTGAGAGCTGGACAGTTAAAAAAGATAATAGGAAGAAAATCAATGTATTTGTGATGTGGTGTTGGAGAAGAGTGCTGAGGATCCCATGGACAGCCAAAAGGACAAACAAGTGAGTCCTAGAGCAGATCTAGCCGGAAACCTCCCCGGAAGCCAAGATGATCAAACTGACGCTGTTGTACTTTGGACACATCCTGAGAAGAGAGGACTCATTGGAAAAGACAATAATGCTGGGAAAGGTGGAGGGAAGTAGGAAGAGAGGAAGACCACATGCTAGACGGATGGACTCTATTAAAGAAGTCACGGGTATTAAGGGGTTGCAGGAATTAAGCAGAGCAGTGGAGGATGGAGGGTCTTGGAGATGTCTCATCCATAGGGCCACCATGAGTCAAGATCAACTCAAGGGCAGTTAACAACTACAACAAATTATAAAAATCATAATGAGCCTCACCCCCCCCCCCGACTGCAGATGCTCAGAGACCACCTTTAACATTTTTCACCACCAAAAAAGATTAATATCTCCTCTGTAAGAGCACCCACAATTGACCTTCCTCTGCTCTACTTGCCCATTTCCCAAAGTATATATCAGATGTATGGGGGAGGAAGAAGCCTCTGAGAAAATGGTGTGATCAAGTCCAATTCCTTGACCCACTTCTCCATTCGAAGATATCTTGTCTTGCTTCTAAAGTTTGAGGATTTCAGGGCAAGCTAAAACCTTTCCCATTGTGTATGTACTTGTGACTGAGTACCTACCACCAATAGCTTGTTGACATTAGAGGTCACAATATGGAAGTGCTGCAGATAAAATTATTTGCTTTGTTCTTTGTTGATGTGTGCCTTTAAGTCGTTTCCAACTTATGGTGATCCTAAGGTGAAGAGCTATCATGGGTTTTTCTTAGTATGTTTCTTCTGAGAGGTTTTGCCATTGCCATCCTCAGAGGCTGAAAGAATGTGAGGTCACTCAGTGAGTTTAAATAGCCAAGCTGGGATTCAAACCCTGGTCTCCAGAGTCATAGTCCAATGCTAAAGCCACTATGCCACTTAGACATCACCAAAAATGGGATGGAGAAAATGCAAAAAGGATGGAAAAGGACATCTATTTACACAAAATTTGCACATGCTAATTTCTGTGTATAGGTGCTAACTTAGAAATGCTTGAATTTAAGTACAGGTTAAGTCTCCCTTATCTGGAATTCTGAAATCTAAAATATTCAAAATCCAAATTTGTCTACATGGGTGGCTAGACAACTTCAACAAGAAAGAAGAAACCCTTACATTAAACAAAGTTTGGCTACCAGTCCTTAAAAACACCAAAATCAAGACCCAGCAAGTGCAAGTGAAAACCACCCAAGGTCAGGGGGGTTTCCCAGCAGACAATGAATCACTAATTAAATGGACACCCTGGGGCCTTACCATTCAGCAACAGAACAACACACAGATCAACATGTAAATCACTTCCTCTCAACCAAGGATCACACAGTGTGTGTGTGTGTGTGTGTGTGTGTGTGTGTGTGTGTATATATATATACACCTCACTTACTTCCATGCCAGAATTCTCTGAAGATGCCAGCCACAGATGCTGGCAAAATGTCAGGAATAAACTCTTCCAGAACATGACCACATAGCCCAAAAAACCTATCAAAAACTATACCCAGCTCCCTAAGTCTCTCCTCATAGGGTATGTTTCCAGACCCTTCACCATTTTGATTGTCCTCCTCTGGACATGCCTCAGCTTCTCAACATCCTTTTTGAATTGCAGTGCCCAGAACTAGACACAGTATTTCAGGTGAGGCCTGACCAAAGCGGAATAGAGTGGTACTATTACTTCCCTTGATCTAGATACTATATTTCTATTGATG